ATTATCGCGCGTGCCCTCGATCTACACCTGCGGGAGACCGACCTCAACATGGTTGCTATGGTCGGGTTCGCAACTGCGGGCGTAGTGTTGCTCATCACAATCGTGAACATCAAGAGCCGTCACGCCCACATCCTTGATGGCCTCGGAAGCCAAGCTATTGTCAGGAGCGCTGCCGAGATGAACAAGGACGCAAAAGATCAGACTGCGACGGACGGACCGTAGATGCTCCTACCTCGTCCGATAGCCCTGTCTCTACCAAGACAGAATGCTAAGTGGCTACATTCGTTGGGTAACATAAACATACCCCGGTCGCCACGGTGGTCTAGTGGGTAGCCTCGCAGTCTGCTAAGGGCCAGGTCAGGGGTTCTAGTCCCGACAGAGTGATTTTTTTCTCGCTAATTAAATCCTGGTCTCCGTTGGAAGCGACGCGCTGCAAAGCTCGTTGTTTGCAAACTTGATCGACTTCGTAAGTTGCGAGGGAGGGGATTGCTGTACCCTTCTCGAGATAAAAATATCTCAGGCAGGAACCGCAGGAGGGGGTCCAACCCCCCTCTCCTATGTGACCCCGGTTGGGTCGTCTAGCTGGTAGAAGTGGAGGATAGGGGCCAGAGGGGCAGGCGACAGAGTCCAATGATGGGAGAAAAAAATGATAATAATAAGCCATAGCGTAGCGGCGACCAACGACTTGACTTGTGCAGATGCATTGGACGCACGGTCTTTCGAGTACGTTCGCCGGTCATGGTAGCACTGGCGAGAAGAACGACTCCAACCACCGCGGCAAAGAGAGAGTTTGCACTGCACGGCCTCTTTGCTTAGTGGCAATAAACGCCTCTGGGGAGTGTAAGCAATGTTTTTTTCTTCGCTTCCTTTGGACGCGCGGTTTGCGGGTCAGTGTCAATAGGACTACAGTATAGGACTGAGGTTGGAGGCATCCATAGCCTAAATAAGCAGGAATGCCTGCCATTGCCGGGAATACGAGCGGTCATCAACGTGGTCTTCAGGATACGCAGGCAATAGCAGCCTCCCAAACCCAGGGGTTCAATACCATATCCATCGGGAAATGGCCTCCCGTTAACCGAAGTAGATGGGCTGCAATTTCAATCTTGACATCCGGAATTCGGAATTCGAGGTTGCCGGTCAATTATTGGGCTTCAACTATATCGGAATGTGCCGCTTCACAAGTCGGGGACAATCTTCGCCACCGAGTTCGTCGGGAAGTGCCCTTGGAAACCATGAATCTGTACTTAATTTGGACGCGTCTCACGTGCATGTAGCACTGTAGTTTACTACGTATACATTGTTGGAACACGTTGCCTCCTAGTCGGCCATTGGCGTGTCTCCCGTTGGCAAACTACGTTTTGTTTCATGCTATGCGACATGAATATGCTTTCCCCGTCGACACGCCTCGAAAACAACAGAGATTCTTTCACGGTCCTTGAAAACGCAAAAAAAACACAAGATTGTCGGAAACCGCCTCACCTTGGGTCGAGACCTCCTTTGGGGGGTACTCTACGCTGACCTACCGCGGCGGCGTCGACCACAAAGGTGGTAAAATCCCCGACCATAGCGGTTGTGGGGTATATGCCGAACGTCCCACTCGAAAGGCGCTGCCCTCCTTCCCAAGCGATGTTACGGTCACTGGGGTAAATCTTTGGGAGCAGCGGTTAGGGGCGGGGGGATGCCTTGAGATGCAGTGTGGTTTTCAATATATGTACAGATCCAACTGAAGCGGGTGCCGCATTTAAAGACCGAGGAACGAGGTCCCAAGCGCGTGGATGCATGGCAAAATCAGTTCAATCTCAATCTTTTGGGAAACTCTTTGGACTTCTACGGAGAACATGAAGCGAACGATGGAAAATAGTGAGCGAATGGTGCTGCGTGAGAAAAACTCACGGCGGAATCCGGAGACTCAGAATGACGCGGTTTGACCAGCAAGAGACAAAGATTTTGGCCCCGAATGCGAACGTAACAGTTTTACGTGGAATATGTCGCTTGCGTCATCTTAGAACAAAAATCAATTCCCAAAGAGAGCCATGGTGGGGGAAAGCCATGATCTGCCCCTGGGGTCTGTTTTTCAACACTGGCCGCGTTTCCACCTGTCATCTCGCCGACGCCGCCTTCGACGACATATCCGTCGAGAACGCGTGATCCTTCGCCTCCCGCCGCAGTGACATCCTTTCCGCCGTGTCGGTGGCCGACGTCAACCTGGCACGCGGCGCAGGAGATGCTCCGCCGGTGCCGACGCCAAGCCATCATCCACGCGAGCCCTCCGCAGACAACGCCGACCGCGCCGACGCGGCTCGTGGCATCGCGGGCATGTCAGCCTTCCTGGACGCCCCGGACAACCCCCTCCTACTTCGCAATATCGACACAGGTCGTGACAGCAACGACAACGACCAACCTCCCAGCGCCTCCTCGTCTTGCCCTTCCGTACCATACATTCCATTTCTGACACGAGTAATCCTTGGTTGCTGTCGCACCAACCGTACATCGATACAAGCATGACTTCACCTTCAGCAACAAGTTGCTTCTTGCGGGATTCACATGTTATGTTGCAACTAGCGCGCAGGCTTTACAACGGGTCATGCGGGACGGGGTGTCCCCGCAGTTGCACGACGTGTGCGCATCTTCGCCTGTTGTACATACTTTACTATTTGGTCTCCTCCGCTCTTGGGGGATGACGTGTTTGTTGTCGTGCCTTCGGAGTTTGCGTACGCACGAGCCCATTGTCGAACGGACAGCATGATGTGCTGATCATACAACACCAGATTCATGTCTTCACTCGTTCCAGCAGCAAGCGCAAACACACCTTCAACCCGGAGATGCCCGCGCCGCCAAGTCCTGACGCGGCCATAACCTCGCGCGCGGTTTCGACGGCGCGACCGGCCGTACCCGTATCAACCAGCCAGGAAGTCGGCGGAACGACGGTGCAGAGGGCGGACGGGGGCGTCCTGCAGAATCGGGTTGTACTGGCGCAAGTGTGCCCAGACGCAATAGGTTTTAATAGCGGTTACCAGAGGCTCGCCTTCCACGACCCGAGCACTACGTCCCTGGTGTAGAAATTCACTAGGGGTTGACGAGGGCCAAGAACGCGCGACTAGGGTACTCGGGAGGAGGGCGGTCGAACCCTGGCAAAAGGGCCTGACGGGCTCACGCGTCGACGACGAGGATGTCGCGCTTCCGCGCGATTACGCGGGTGCTTTGCACGTTGCCAAGGGCGCGGCGCTCGAGCGGGTGGTTGATGAATGGGCTGTGGAGGAAGAAGAAGAGGAGCTGGGCGTGCGACGTCTGGGTTGGGACACCAACGATGTGGGAGAGGGCGGGAAAAGTTGTGAACAACGTGACGGGGTGGGTGCGTATGCCTATGGTTGACTTTTCTTTTTCAAGTGTGTGTGCCTGATGTGTTTGTGATTGGACAGGACGTGTGGGCGTGTCACATCGTGTGCATGTCGGCGTTCGGGAGCGGAGGTGAGGGTGGCACCTACAAGAACTTGCTGCAGCCGTGGCCACAGCAAATAGGGCTATTTCATGCTCGTTTTGCACATATCGCGCGGGACACACTGCCAGAAATAAAAGTCTTTGAGAATTTTTCATCTCGCGGCACAAGCACCACCGCCAGAAAAGACTTGCAGAATTTTCTGCATGGTGCAAGAGGTCGTCCGGTCTGAATATATGCCAACAGCACCGAAATCGTATGCTACGTCGCACTCTGTAGCGTAGCTTATACATATATATATGCGGCATGCACGGCGCGCCTCCGGAATGCGTTCATCAAAGCGTACAAGTAGTTTGAGTAGTGTCAAGAACTTCATGCACGACGAGGCAACTACTGCCCAATAGGGGGGACGGTTTACTGCTAGATGTATATGTGCGTATGCATGCGAGGTGAGCCTCCGGAAAGGATGCTTATCAAAGCGCAGTGCTAGCGAAAGATCAGCCGAAGTTCATTCAGCAGTCAGAGAGAGACGATTTTCTCTCTACTCTAGAACAAACAAGAAAGAAATGACCCAGACCGAAGTATCCTAAACATAATTTACCATACCGCGTATGTACCTAAATGTACGTTGGGGCTTTCTACATAAAGCATCTGCGGCAGGGGGGCGTTCTAGTCAATATATTGTCATCCCGTTCCCTCGTCGACCGTGGGTTCGAAAGTCGAAGAGCGTACAGCTAGCGCCCTTTTGTTTGGGTCGAAGGACCGGCCGAGGTCGTCCATTCCTTGAATGAGATTTTGAAGTCCTTTGGGCTGTCGCATCGCCTGATTCTCTTGTACTTCGTATTTTCTTATTTCTGCCTTTTTTCTCTCTCTGAGGTCAACCTACTTCTTGAAGCCCTCAAGAGGTGAACAGTGCTTTCCAACCCGCACAGCGGACAGCATGTGGTTGTCCGCGATGTGTGGCAGATAGCAGTATTACATCACAGCAGATCACTGGGAAGCAGGGGCGGCGCGAAAATAACCACTCTCACCACAAAAACATGTGCATGCACCGTTGTTCAGCTAGGTAAAGGGGTGGAGCACCGAAGGAGCAGCGTGGGACGTTTATTAGTGGCAGTCAAAACAAAAATTCAAAATTCAAGTTTGTGGAAAATGTGTGTTGATAATTTTCAAACTGCTTGCGCCCATTTCACGGTGGGATGTGCCTGACAGATCAGGCGCGGCGCGCAACAAAAACACGTAGTTCGCTCTTATACATGAGACGGGCTATTTAACTCATGCCTCACAAGCGCACCTGGACATCTGCTGTCTAACTGGGCTTCGCCGTGACCAGTAGTTAGTTGCCTACTGTTGGACTGCATGTGAGGTGGTCGTTTGATCGCCCAAGTCCTGAACTCTCAGAGTCACAGCGAGCTGCAACATCGCTTACCATCATGTCCTTCCCAACCTGGGTCTCTGCCTCTGTATCTCTCTGTGGTTCCTTCGCTCCACAACAAACCAAATGAATAACGCACACAGGATCAGCATAACAAATAGCAGAGCAAGATTCAGGAATTGACGAAGGATGAGGGGCCCCGCGAATAGCAGCTTGAGGGGGGTGGCGACCGTGGCGGTGTGCTGGCTCAGGACGAGCGCACACAAGAGACAAGCTGCCGATGCGCACGAGGTACTGCACGAGAGGCACAGGATGTGCGGCTGTACGCGAACGAGAGATCCTTCCAACTACACTTTCTCCGCATCTTGTACATGCTACCACGCGTCGCGGCAAACTGGACGATCCAACACTACAACGGCGGAACGAGTATGCCGCAGGGGAGGGGGAAGGTTGCAGCACCTGGGCAAGGCACCGCTTGGAAACTGGTGCGCGAGCAGCGGGGCTGGCATGAGATTAGGATTGCTGGTTGGGCTTCTGGCGGCTTCAATACGGCGGGTTGAGGTACGGTTTCGTTACGGTTGGCCACAAAGGTGGAGAGGTGCCTCTCTTGACCTAATGTTTGTGTACATTCAAAGATGCGTATTGTCCGCACCTTTCTCCCCGCTGGCTCTCTTTTTAGAAAGTGTAGTCTAAACATAACCTCACAGAAAGACCACCCGTTCGAGACATAGTCTTAGTCGAAAGGGATGTGGTGTGTTTGCGGCCTACGCCACGTATATATCGGGTGAGACTGTTTTGGTGATGTATTAACTTCACGGGAGGTCGACGACCGTCCTTCACACGGACTAAAGAGGGAGTGCTCACAGAGCGGCTCCCACAGCAAGGAGGGGCCCGTGAATCATCGCGGTGCCCCCTATCAAACGGTTATCTCACCAGTCTGCGTGACACAAAATCATCCAGCACATGTATCCAACAACAATGTTCGCAGACCCACGAACACCCTCCCTGGTTCTTCACGCAAGTGACTAACCATCAATTGGGCATGAACGCCCCAAGATACATCAGAAAATACCAACATATGGAGGGGAAACCCGGCGTCCGGGCAAAACCCCTCAAGGAAATACCCTTCCACCACAAAAAAAAACGTCGCTATCACAGCGGATCACAACGGCCGCACTTATTAGAAAGGCCAAGGCGAAGACAAGAACGCGAGGAACTACGTTCCCCCGGACGATGGTCTCCCAACGCCCCCTACTCCTGCCATTGGTACACAGACCGCAACAGTTATGCGCCTTTCCCCGCATGGAAGACATGGCCTCTCCCAAGTGCTAGAACCTGCTACAGCTACTCCGGAAAATTCATCAGCTTGCGCCGGTGATACTGCAGACTGACCCTGCTAAGGGCCTTGGTGAGGAGGTCCGCGTGTTGCTCCGTTGTCGGGACAAACTTGACCAAAATTTCCCCCCGACCTAAACAATCCGCGGATGAAATGAAACCGCACGTCGATGTGTTCCGTGCGACCTGAGCTGAGAGGGTTCTGCACCAATGCAATGGCCCCCTGGTTGTCCTCAAGGACCTGGATGCTGCTACCTCTGGTCTCTGGGGCAACAAACGAAAGCACAGCACGCACAAACAACGCCTCCTTGACGCCTTCCCCGGCAGC